TGCCTCCGGAAGGCCTTGTGGCAGATGTCGCAGGTGTAGGGCCGCTCGTCCGTGTGCGTGCGCTCGTGGATGAGCAGGTTGTAGGACTTGGTGAAGTGGCGCCCGCAGAACTTGCAGATGAATTCCTTCTTGGTCTTGGAGGGCAGGCGGCCGCGGGAGGGCTTCCTGTCCGGGGACAGCTTGCTGATCCCCGACAGGGGCGACGCCAGTCCGGGGCTCAGCTTGGCCAGGTCCCCCACCTTGGGCGGATCCTCCTGCGTGGCGGCCACGGCCAGGTTGGCAAAGTCAAAGCGGGGCCTGTCCTTGTGCAAGGCCGGCAGGACGTGCGCGATGGCCCCTTGCTTGGGGTGGAAGAGGTGCGTGGCGAAGGGCAGCGCGGGGAACGGGAAGCGGGAGTCCACCAGGCCCTGGGCGGCCGCCATCTCCGTGATGGTGGAGCGCGTGATTTCGTGCACATTGGGGTAGCCCAGTGTCCAGTGGTTCATGTGCATGGTTTGCACGGCGCTGAGTCCGTACAGACCTTGCAGCTGGTCCACAGCTGCGGGGAAGGTGTTCACGGCCTGCAGGAAGGAGTAGTTGGTGAGTTGCAGGGACGGGTGCAGCGGGATCGGGGCCGGCAGCGCCTTGCTCCCCATCTTCCCGGAACCGGGGCAGGCGGCGGGGCGGCTGCTGCCTCTCTTCGGGGCTTCCAAGGGGAGAAATTCCTAGGGAGAAATAGGGAAAAAGAAGGAAAAAGACTTTTATCGGGAGCAGCGAGTTTCCCCTCGGCCGAGGCGGGAACGGGGGGAGCCGGAGGCCGGGAGCGCCGGCCGGAGCGCTGCCCGTCCCGTCCCGTCCCGGCTCCGGCTGCCGCCGCGCGGGGAGGAGCGGCCGCGGCGGGGCCGCCGAAAAAGGCGGCGGGCCCCGAGAAGCGAAAGCGCCAAGGAACGACTAGAACCGCGGCTCCAGAAACAACCCCTACACCAAAGAAGTTAGGGAAAATAAAATAAACAAAACAAAAACAAAACAACGGCAGCAATTTCCCGCCGACCCTTCCTCAGGCGCTGCAGCCTCGAAAAAAACCGAGCGTGGAAGTCGCGCCGGGAGCGCGCGGCTGGAGCCGGGGCCGCTGCGCTCCGCTCCGCGCGGCCGCGCACGGAGCCCCCGCGGCGCCGAG